AAAAAAATCAGAACATGGAATGTACAAAGCATGAATCTAGGAAAACTGGAAATTGACAAAATGAAATGGATTGCATAAACATCAATATCCTGGGCATTAGTGAGCTGAAATACACTGATATTGGCATTTTGAATCTGACAACCACATGGTTCATTATGCAGAGAATGACAAATTAAAGAGGAATGGTGTCACATTCATCATCAAAAAGAACACATCAAGATCAGTCATGAAGTACAACACTGTCTGTGATAGGATAATCTCCATACCCCTACAAGGAAGACCAGTTAATACCACTATTATTCACATTTATGCACCAGCCACTAAAGTTGATAATGATGAAATTGAAGAATTCTACACACTTCTTCTGTCTGAAATTGATCAAACATGCAATCAAGCTATATTGATGATTACTGACAATTGGAATGCAAAGTTTGAAAACAAAGAATAAAGATCAGTCATTGGAAAATACGGCCTTGATGATAGAAACAATGCTGGAGACTACATGGTAGAATTTTGCAAGATCAATGATTTGTTCATTGGAAATACCTTTTTTAAGCAACAAAAAAGATGACTGCACACATGGACCTCACCAGATGGAATACACAGAATCAAATTGACTACATTTGTGGACAGAGATGGTGGAAAAGCTCCATAGGATCAGCTAAAACAAGGCTGGGGCAGACTGTGGAATAGACCATTAATTGCTCATACGCAAATCCAGGCTGAAGTTGAAGAAAATGAAAACAAGTCCATGAGAGCCAAAATATGACCTTGAATATATCCTACCTTAATTTAGAGATCATCTGAAAGACAAATTTGATGCATTAGACACTAAAGACAGAAGACCAGAAGAGTTGTAGGATAACATCATACATGAAAAAAGCAAAAGATCATTAAGACAAGAAAAAAGGAAAAGATCAAAATGGATGTCAGAAGAGACTCTGAAACTTGTTCTCCAGTGTAGAGATGCTAAAGCAAATGGAAGAAGTGAGGAGATACAAGAGCTGAACAGAAAAATTTAAAGGTCAGGTCAAGAAGACAAAGTCAAATATTACAATGAAATGTGCAAACACCTGGAGTTAGAAAACCAAAAGGGAACCGAAGAAAAAATTCAAGCCTTGACTTGTGGTATTGAAGGATTCTCTGGGCAAATTATTAAATGGTATAGAAAATTTCAAAACAAGAGTGA